ATACAGTGCACAAGATAACAGTGAGATAGTTACGATTAATATAATAAGCAGCAATCATAGCACTCCAGCTGCCTAATGAATGTCAAGCATATTATAGACATCATGGCACTGTTAGGTTTTAAAGAGATTTAAAGGAAGAGAATGTGGTGGCCTTGTAGATTTTTACAAGGTGCCTTGCATAAGAGGCAGCATGGGGAAAGTGTGAAAATACTCACTGGGAAATTTGACAAGATACTCTCCTAATGCCTCCCAGAGCCAGGAAACAAGATGTTATTGTACCTATGGCTTTAAAAAAATAAAAATTAACATTAAATAAAAAACACCCTGCTGTTCTAGAGCAGGTATTGAATGAAAAAATGTTCTAGGAAATCCAACTCTTATTTGGAGAGGATTTTTACCCGCTCCTAGACTTTCCTCCTCACTTTCTGTTTCAGCGTTTTCCTTTGTAGTCTGAACTCTAACTTCTACCCAAATTCAAAAGGACTGCATTTGAAGAGTTAATTAGACCTCCTGTAAGGTCACTTAAGGTGCAGACTACATATTCCTGTCACTGGCCTCGAACAGTACTTTCTCTAACGGTTCCCCTCCTTCAAATTATGTTGAAAAAATTGCTTGGAGAGGTTGCCATGGAGGAGCCAACAATGTCTTTTAGCAATAGCATTAGAAGCCATATCTCACAAGACAGATTCAATAGAAGTGTGTGCCATGACAGATGTAGCTGAAGTAAGCTTTTTGCAGATTGACTTTTATTTACTGTCTTACTATATCCTCTGTCTTCATATCACCAAGAAAGAGCAGCATGCACTTCAGTGGTTCCCAATATTTTTTTTGTTAGTGCCTGTCCTCCACCCTGGGGGAGGAATTGGCATACATCCCCAGTGCCACATTGTGAGAGTGCCATCTCTTTTTTCTGTCTCTCCCTCCCCCCCTTGTCATCCTCATGTTCTTTCCTTTGCTGCTCTTGCATTTTTCTGACTTGTCCCTTACTTACCTCCTACCTTCATTTACTCTCTGGTAGCTCTGATTCCCCTACTCATTACCCCACTCAATTCAAAGCCATACACTGCTGGGGTGGGGGAACATCCACTGTTGCCCACCAAATCTGACGTGGGTGCCATGTTAGCACAGCAAACAAGGTTCAGGTGTGGCAGGTTGCTCAGTCTGAAGCCATGTACAGTGAGCTTCTGCTACAGCAAGCTACAGAAAGACGCACAACAGGAGCAAAGAAAAAAAAGGAAACACAGACTGAGTAGCACATTTGCAGTGTGTGCACATGTAGTTAGGAATGATCTGCAGCTTTCCAAGCCAGACACACCCTTTTTTCTACTTTGCATCCCATTGAAGTAGTCTGTACCTCCCACCCCGCCACTCATGTTGCGAAAAACTGATGTAGCTGATGAAAATGTTTGAGGAGCAACAGATGCTGCTTCAAAGTTTCTTTTAAGAAAGTCTTCAATCTCTCTTTCTGCTTGTTCTTTTTGAAAGATATCCCCTCAGGCCACAATAGCTCTATTGCTAAAGATTTAACTGATGATTCCACATATGAAATGGAAGTTATTTCTCCTTTACATTGCTATACCTTATAAAAACTTAATTATGATGGTTGAAATGACATCCTGTGTCCAGGTTTTTCCCAATTCCCCATTGATAATGTTCTCAAACAATGGATATATTAGTGCGCCATTCTCTTTCACCTGTACTTTTCGTCCCCTTTAAGTCTATTTTTCAGTGCTGTGTTGGATTTATCCCCAGTGCCTATAAAAACTAGCTAAAGGATGGAGAGAGGCATGGGTGAGGAGGATGTGAATCTTGCTTTCCATCAAATGTGTGGTCAACTGGAAGAACCATTTCTTCAGGGGAATTATGTTTTTAAACACCCTCTTAGCAATGTTATACCTCTCCAGAATGCCTACCCTCTAAGTGGGCAACTGATCATTTAGATAACCTGGCTAAAACATCAATCTTACTGGGTGGCGCCATCACTTTCAGGGAGACCCTAACTTCACCTGCTGCTCCCCCTTAGACTCTGTCAAGTCATTTTAGTTGCAAAAGCATGAACAGATCCACTTCAGTGCAAGGCTGAATGACTACTGTAAACTAAGCACTTCCACTACAAATGGTGTTTATTTGGCTTTTGTGTTATAACTGGGCCTCTGGCAGGAATCCAACAGGTGCGGAGAGGCATCCCACAGTTGCCAGCAATGTTCTAGCAGGTATTAATTTTAAAATGCCAAAATAGGAACCGAAAAAATAAGGAACTCTCAGTGCTCCTCACTGCTGATGTAAAAGGAAAAACTGAACTAACTCCACCTAAGTAAACTAACTGAAGGCAAAATATCAGCTGGGGAGGTAAAGGGCTTTCCCCTCAGGAACCCTAAGAATGACAGTTCCAAACTGGCCTCTAGCATTTATTTTCTTTTCTATTCTCTTCTATATAGGTTCTTATACAGCACTCATCACTGTACTGTCTGTGCAGTTTCCAGTAGCATATTAAGCAATGTGACTAACATCTGTCACGTGTTTGCTCTCTGATCCTCTCCCCAGGGGAGACATGTGTGCAGTAGTGTTTTGTTTTGATGGATTATTTTAACACACACAGCTATACATTTATGTTGAAAAGACAGTATCTATGCAGAGGAAGTGGGCAACAACTGGGGCTGAAAAAGAAATTGTAATTTATACAATTCCAATTCCATAACAATAAGCAACTTATGCCCTCTCACGCACATTTTAAAAAAACTGTTACACAGTGTGCAAGATTCATTTTGTCAAAGAGTTTAAGGGAATGCCATAATATATTATACAGCTATGACACACACCAGAAATGTACTCTACTAGACAAAAAAAAAAATTATAGAATTAGTTTGATCAAACTAGATGATGCAGAACCTAACTCTCTCTTCAGGAAATGTTTCTATTACCAGTTTCCTTCTGAGCAAACAAAGTATGATACATAGTATGGAAAATAAAAATTCAACATTTCACACAGGTCTGTTCTTTTTATCTGAACTCTCTACTTTTGTCACTCGCAGGACATATATTGACAACACTAATCACATTACAGCTTTCTGCACCTATCAGCTTTGATATCTTTAACTGGAAACCTAGTTTGTTTTTACCACCAAACCATGGATTAAAACCAAATATTGTAGCAGTGTGTAATAAGTATGCTTTGTTTTTGTTCACTGATACAGTCTTCTGCCAGGAAAATTTTGTCCTTTAGACCTGGCTAATGACAAACAAGTATGACCATAACCATGGAAAAAACACTATTTCCCTATGGTAAGTAAAGGGTCCTGGACAGTAGACAATTATACCACAGTTACAGTAGCGCCAAACCATAAGAACCTATATAGACATTTTCTGCCAGTCTGTTTTTTAACATAATATAACCTTGTTTATTAACTGCACCAGCAAAAGGGCAGCAATCTTCAGACCAGATACAAATAAAGACAAAATCCATTCAGTCGTTTAATATTAAGCAACACACAACTAATTTAGACCTAAAATTTATTCTAATCATGAATGTCTTCCAGCATCTCTAGAAGTATTTTTTGAGAGCTACCAAAAACAAGTGTGAGCTTCCCTCTTTCTCCTTAAAGGAAGCCCTACTCCCAGGCCCATTAAAATTAACAAAAAAATCTTAAAAGGTCTTGCAGTATGTCATTCGAAAAAACAATGATGCAGATGTTAAAACTGGTTTATTTTTCTGATTTTATTCTAGCACTAACTCAGCCAAATGAACAAACTGCAAACATCACTACCGTGTTTCCTACATCACATAGAAAAGACTGAAAACAAGAATGACTAACAGCAAATTAGCAAACTGCTAGCAAGAACTAGTCTCATTAGGAATCAAATAAAAATATTTGCTCTGAAATTAAAAGACCTGCCCCCCATTTTAATGTCATTGGGAAGGGAAACTTTTTTGGAGGGGGAAGAAATAATCTACGTAAGCACCTCCCCCTCCCCTGAAGAATGTTAATGTGTCATGTATTTCAATGAAACATTTAACACCTCATTTTAAGTTACCAACGTTCAGGCCATCAGAGCAGCTAGAAACAGAAGAAGAATCCAGAGGGAATGAATAGTAACAGAAACAGACTCCTAGAGAGCCCCATGAAGCAGCATCCCCGTTTGAAGCCAAAGGTAATTTACACAGCACCCAAACCGAGAGCAACACAAACACTGGGGGAAGGGAAATGACTTCATGGCCTGATATCCTTCTCCAACACCACTTCCAGCTTTCAAAGGGGTTTAAGATGGCAGGAAGGTAGGAGCCCAGAAAGTGTCTTGGGAGACAAGGTGAGATGTGACTTGAGAGAAGGGAGAGGAAATGGCCTGAGAGTTAATCATCACACCAAGCTCTAGGGAAGTGAAGTGATGTTCCGTGGGATGGGGCTGATCTGGAGGGAGGGGCGCTGGAAAGACAGGGGTGTGGCAGGCATAGTGATGGCTAGAGGAAGGGGTGTTATGTAGGATGGGGGCAGCCTAGGAAGGGGACGGGAAAGAGGGTGCCACGAGTGGAGGGGCGTGACGGGATGGCAGCGGCCCAGAGGGTAAAGACCCTGCGGTGTGGGGGCTACCTTAGGGGAGGGACATATGGAGCAAGGGGTCTGGGGGAGGGGGGAAGGGCATGGCAGGTGAGAGTGACCTAGGAGGCAGGGTGGGAGAGGTGTCCGTGAGGGTGCGGAGGGGGAAGGGACTCTGGGGTGCGGTGGGGGAGGGGTATGGCGGGGGTTAGTGTGAGGGAGGAGTATGGGGGGGGTTGGGCTGGGGGGGCGCCAGGGGTATGGGGCCCTGTGGCGTGCCAGGGTGGAGCTATAGGGGCGCGGGTTGGGTGGGGGAGGGGTATGTCGGGGGGCTCTGGGGTGGGGGTTGCTGTGGGGGCGGGGGGAGAAGTACTCCGCGCGGAGGGGGACCCAGGCCGGGCTCCTGTTCCGCAACCCCCGGGGTCAGCAGGAGCCGCCTGTTGCCCGGTGGGAGGCCGGGACACTCACCGCGCTCTAGTCGCCGTTTTCCCCCTGCCGTGGGTCCGAGTCCCGCTTCCGCGCCGAGCGCTCCCCTCACGGCACGGGCCAACTTCGGCCTGTCACGTGACGGGGCCGGAGCGGAGCCCCCAGTCTAAGGGTTTGGTTGAAGGGGCTCGGCCAAGCTGGGCCGCGGGGCCTGCCGGGAGCTGTAGTTTGCTTGGGCAGGGACGGGCCGCGGGGCCTGCCGGGAGCTGTAGTTTGCTTGGGCTGAAAGCGCCTGTCTCAGGTTCATATCACAACGACTGACTCTAAAAAGAGGCAGGACGAGAAAGTGGCCGGGCGGAGGCAGAGTGGGAAAGGAGACCCATGAACCCCTGCAGAACAACAGCCCTCCCCCCCGCCCCCATGGAACAAACTGCCTCACCACAGCCCTTAGGAGGCGAAGGCCTAACCCTGGGGAGAACAGTGCATGGACTGCTAGCAGCCAGGCCCCTCCACGGGGGCACCACACACGGACTCCACTAGGGCTGCTGCCCTCGATCTGTTCCATTCTGTAACCTCCCATGGCAACAGGGAAAAGTTCTGGAGGGCCTGGTGCTGCCTATCTAGCCCTAAACAGAGGTGGGTGAAGCCCTGTCTGGTCAAAAGCCCCAGGCTGAGAACCCATGAACGAAGGCTGGCAACACACAGCACAGTGAAAAGTTGGAGGATGGTGACCAGTATGAGAGAGGAGTGATTGAAATGGTCACGCCGACAGGGGGTATCTTAATCACCATTGCCTCACGACTGCGTGGAGACATTTCCACTGGTGCGAAGCTCACAACGCAAATGACTCCGCAAGATGCAGGGAACCAGTGAATTGCTACAAGAAAGTTATTGCCCCAGATTATCAGTAATTATAACAGGCTGCCAATCAAAAAGCCGTGTGGGACAACTGTGCATTACCCTGGCCTAGGGTGACCAGATGTTCTGATTTTATAGGGACAGTCCTGATTTTGGGGGCTTTTTCTTATATAGGCTCCTATTACCCCCCACCCCCATCCTGATTTTTCACACTTGCTGTCTGGTCACCCTACCCTGGCCTAGGAGATGGAGAGAGATAGCAGAGGCAGTATTGCTATGTAGCAATCTACCATCAAATCAAGGATGGATAATAATGACAAATGGACACTGGATAAAAACCTAGTCACATACCGGAACTCTGTCTTGGATAGATGCCTGATGTGCTGTATCTGCCTCTGACAAGCACCCAAGTTCCTGTCCTTTTTTACACTTTGGCAGCACTCGTTAATGCCACTACTATATTTTTAAAGGTATTTGAAATGGGAGCAAAGAAGGAGAAAGATTAGGAGGAGACAGAACAAGGCAGGAGAGGAGAAAACAGGGTAAGGAAAGGGGAGGGATCAGAAAAAGAACAGAAAATAGTGAAGGAGAGGGAGCGAGTGTGAAATGGAAGCTTTTCTGCCTCATTGGTTAGTTTTGCTGGTGGCAGCAAGTTGTACTAATTGCTATTTTGGGATTCCAGCGGCGTTGTTGTGAGGAGTGAATTACTATGCTGTAGAGAAGGAAGGTTTGTTGTTTAGACAAGTGAAACTGAAGGCTATGTTTAGCTGACACAGAAATTAAGTCCTTTCCAGGGCAGCTTGGTTTAGAGAAGAGGCTCTTAGGAGCCTTTTAATGTCCCCTCTCTCGGTGAGGACAGGCTAACTCCCTCTCTCCATGGCTTCCTTCTTTTTATCTTTTGCATATATATGATGGTGTTTTATGCCACAAGATCCCAAGTAACTACACACTTAAGATATCAAAGATAGTGACACACTTCATCCACTGCTGTGTCCACTCCTTTGTGAGATTTTGGTGTTTGCTGTGCAATTCCTCTCCTGCTCCCTTCGGTCTGTTTAAAACCTACTTCTCTGACCTCTCCTTTTTAAAGCAAGAGCTGCTGACTGAAGTCAAATCAGCAGGACTAGATAAGGCATTGATTGCGGTAAAATGTGCTACTCTCAAACCTGGCGAGGCTAAATAAGATAAAACAGTATACATGCACATGTGCTTTACTTCTTCTTTATTGAATTGTTCCGTTTTATACTGTTTGACAAAGCCATTTCAGAGACCATCCAACAAATATTTAAAAACATTGCTGTACTTTGATAGTACCAGGACTGTGACAATTTAAACATTACAACAGGAGTCGGCAACTTTTGGCACACGGCTCGCCAGGGTAAGCACCCATAGTTTGCCCACTTCTGGTATAGAATGTGTTCAGAAATTCTCCCACGATGGGCCTAGTGCTGATGCAGCTCCACCAGTACTGGCAACAGTAGGAGAGGCAACATAGACTGGTCTCAGGTGTATTTAACAACATGTCCCCAACCTGTTCACGTGGTTCTAAAAGTTGTACTTGTGTGTACTAGTGCCTGTTCAGAGTAGATTCAAAACAAAACTTATTTCAGGCTGCCTTTATATATCAAAATAGAAAAAAAATACATGCAGATTGCAGAAAACCCATTTTTGAAAGATCCTTTACTGGTCTCCTTTCACTTGCCTGTATTATGTACTGGTAACTTTGCATTTAAATGGCATTAGAATCAGTTTTTATTAAAGAACTCAGTGGGATGGTTAATTCTGCCTTTCCGCAACATTTTAAATAGGAAAGTTGTCAGAATAAAGTAATATCCATGGCCTAACCAGCTAGCAATGTAATACAAATCTGTCTTGAGATTTGCAAGCTATACAAATCTAATAATGCATCTCAGAAATAATTGGAAAAAGACAACCAGCTTTTTTATTAAATTTGGTTTTAAAGAACTTGTTCCTGGGATGAGACTGTGTCAGATTTCAGCCCAAAGCAAGTTTCAATAGCTCATATATGATGTCTTGATGCTACCTCAAAATATGACTTCTTAAATATTATTTTAATAAAAACCAGGTATATCATGCTATTAATTTACACAGCACATAACAAATACTACATCTCAATCTGGTAAAGGCATATACCTTCCCACGTAAGTCAACAGGCTTCCACAGTTGTAAGGGTCTGCACTTAGATAGGGACCCTAAATAAAACATACTTCCTATCCATAAATAAAACAACACAATGAAAAATAAGAGAAGACACAGGGAAAGGCATGGGTTAGTAAGCAGACAAAGTTTAATCATAAAGTAAAAGTAGTACCGGTAATTAGGCAATGAGTTAATAAAAAGCAGTGTTGCCCACTCTCACAATTTTATCACAAGTTTCGTGATATTTGGTGTTTTCTTAAGGCCCCAGCTCCTGGAGTCAAATGGTTCGGTAAGAATCTTGGCTTTCATTTAAAACGAAAGTAGCTTTCTAGCCCTCATGTTGCGGAGAAAAGTTTGAAAACGTGACCCGAGTGAACCAAAGGCTCAGGAACCATTTTTAAATCTCATTATTTTTTTAGGCCTACCTCATGATTTTTGAATGTTTGAGGATGACAATAGTGAAAAAGGAACCAACGAGACATGTACCTATGACTCCTTGTTTTTGTTTATTATTGTCTGTCTGTCACGTCTTTTTTAGATTGTAAGTCCTTTGGAGCAAAGGTTATGTCTTTGGTGTTTATAGAGCACCTACCTTGGGGCGGGGGGGAGGGTTCTGAGCTTCATTGGGACTTTTGGATACTACCTCAGTACAAATAAAAAGCAAAAATAATTAATAATTAAAACAGTTTGGGAGGGGGAGGACATGGGAATGATTAATATGAGATAAAAATGGAAAGACTCAGACTACCAAGATGTTTCGCTATATTAAGACATAGTATAATATAAACTAATATAAGACTCGACAGTATAAAATTATAACTTGGAGACCTATCACTCATGTAGAACTAGCTTTCTAACAGAGAAAGGGATTCATGACATTAGATGGGATAGAATACCCTGTATTATAGTAAAAGTAAGCAAAATGTAATTATCCAAACTGGGACCAGGACAATAGGCTTACCAACCTTATTCTTGTGAAAAGTGACACGAGATCTTTCATGAGCATCAGTGGTCACAAGCCTGGTTTTATATCTAATCCAAGATATGGCAACTCCAACACTAATGCTATGCTGGACCATTGGCTCAGTATTAGCTCAGAGGGAAGAGGGTCACCTCCCAAATCACAGACGTCACACTTGCAACTAATGTTTGCGTTCTTTCATGGGTTTTCCTTCGGAGTCGCAAAGTAATTTTTTAATTTAGCTGTTGTCAATGGAGCCAGCTGAGGATCTGGCCGATAGTCAAACAACTGCATTTTGAGGCTAGACATGCATTCCTTCCAGATGTGATGCACTTTTAGGTGTCATGATCGTGAGACAAATTGTTTTTAAAATTATTTTAATCCATTATTTTTAGAGTCTCCTTTACTGTCAACAATTTACAACTGGAATTCCCAAAACCCAAATTAATTTTGTCCAAACAATTGTTTTTAAACACAAGGGAACTGAACTAATGCCTGTTATGATACAGAAATTGCTTTTGAAGTATAGACAAGATATTTCTATAACAAGCATGGTATTGCATGTTTTATATTAACAAATAGAAACACTAAGCATTGAGCCAGAGGGAGACGAAACAACCATATTCTTCCTTTTTCCTCCCCCAGATAATGTCATCTGTGTTGAGATGCTGTTCTCTTTTCCTTCTGACATCTCCCTTTCAACAAAAGGCTTGTTAGGAAATTCACTGGTGCAGTTTCTATTTTATTGTTTTGAGCCACTGTTCTAGAAACATTTGGCTTGATTCATCAGCCATCATTTACATGATGTAATCATTCAGCTGCAGGAAAATATAGTGAACGTGTAATACACACACTGCTGGTGCAATTCACTGCTAGTGTAACTGGTCTAAATCCCTTTAACCATGGTTGAGGTGCAGGTGAGTTGGGTTTCGGTGTTGTATTTTGATGCAAAAATGCAGTCTTGCCCAATTCATATTCATTCAGAATGCAGCTTTAAAGACCCTTTTCCTGACCTGTCGCTTTGGCTAGCTCATCCCTCTCTTTGCAGCCCTCCTTCTGTATAGCTTCAAACATAAGCTCCTTGTCTTCACTTTCAAGGCTGTAACTCCCATCTCTCATTCACTATCAAGATATCGATGCTTGCCTCCACAGGGGCCATGTTCCCCTCACCCACTTGTTAAATTTTCAAATAAGCACTTTCATGCTG